GTTTATTTAATAAATGGACGAGTAGTATTTATCAAATTTGGGATCCCACCTCTAAATTACACTAATTTAATTTGATTGATGTGTACTAATATAAGTTTGTATGATGAACTTTGATCATGTTATTTGTATGATCAAAATAATTACATTGCCAAAAATAAAATTTATATGGTCATCTTTAATCATGTCAGAACACTGCATGTTTTTCCCTTCAATTATAGGAACACGTCAAGCAAAATGCGCTTTTAGATAATGGGACGAATGGATTGGATGTGGAAATTTCCGGTGGGCTTGGTCATGTTGTTGGGCCGGTTCGTTCATTTATGGTGTTCGATTGGTGCAAAATTTTGATGGGTCTGCCGGTGGAAAAATTATCTGGTAAATGGAAAGGTGACCGAAAATGTGGCTGGATTGGGTCGTTGAGTTTGCTGTGTAAATTGTGTAATTTGTTGATGCGGAAAATTTGTTTCGTCGAAAGAAACATGTGACGAAATAATCAGTTTATGAGTTGCCAGATGTAATTAACTAATATCCCTTCTGGTGAGCATGAGTACACAAAGAAAAGATACAGTAGTTCTGCAATTCCCATGTGACCCAGTAATGACCACACTGTTTATTAAGCAGTAAGTGAAATGCACGTTGATTATGAGTTCAACTCTTCTAAAAAAACAAATACTAATCTAATTTAGAATTTCTTACCATAAAAAAAAAAAACAAAAAAAACAGAGAAAAAAGATAAGTAGTTCTGGAGCGAATTTATAGGAGAGGAGTGCTAGGGGCACTCGCCTTCTGCACTCTCCGGCCAATACTTTCACTTTTATTGGGTCACATTATTCTAATCGGTGAGAGATTGCACTCAAAGCCTGAAACAAACTTACGTGCCCCAATGAAAGGGGAAGTGTTGGCCGGAGAGTGCAAGAGGCGAGTGCCCCTAGCACTGCTCTTCATAGGAAGTCGTAACTGAAATATTTAATGATTATTTACAATAAAAAAGCGATAATAAGAGAATAATTTAATAAACAGTGATAGGATAGAAAATAGGGGCGTAGATTTAAGTTCTTAATTTTTCATTTTTAGCTCGTTCAAGAAGGTGGTCCAACAAAAGATATATGTTACATATCTTACAAGTTAAAAAAAGATTAGTATTTTTTAGCATCAATTGACTAATACAACACTCGTAAGAAATAAAGATGTTCCCAACTTTTTCAGTTGGTGTAGGTATCCAACAATCTATAACGACAAAATGGCAAGAGCAGAAAAAGTAAATTTCCATCGATGAGGCTTTAGGTTCCTTCCTTGCTTACAAATTCAAACCAGGCTGGCCAAGCACTCCGTCTTGCACATCATCGTTGAGTAAAAATCTGAACTTTAGAATCATGTGAAGACCACCAATTGGTTTTACTTGCTTTCTTGGAGCTTGATTTGGATCTATTATACATTTTCCAGCAGCAACGAGAAATTCAAGCGTAGAACCACTGGCGCCGCTTCTGCAACTAGAAATCTAGGCATAGTACTTAGCAGAACCAATTGATCAGTCCTTTATCTTGTATGCTCTTTTACATGCTTCAGAACAACTTCAAAATGTTCAAAAGCATCCTCCATATTTGTGACACATACCTGGAAAAGGGAAAAAGGTAATTGACATTCAAGTACACGACATAACGAAATAGTGAATAAACAAGCAAAACCCAATGGGCAATGAAACATTTCCATTTTCACGAAACATTCATACTATGCCTTACAGAACAATATCTGTTTCAGAATCATCATTCTTGTCCCTAACTCCGGGGAAGTCAAT